CCGTCATAGGGTCGGGGGCTGAATGAGGGCATATTTACATAGAGATAGTCAATGCGGCGTGAACTCGAAGTCACGCGGAAATGCTTGCCTACGCGTGCGTGTGTGTGCGCGCGCGAAAAAAACCTGCTCGCTCAGTCGCCATTGATTTTGCTCCGTCAGTGTGACTTAGAGAATAATGATGATGTATTTGAGACACGCCCACGTGCTCCGGCCGAGGACGGGAAGAGGAAGAAGGCGATAGCCAGCTCGCCCTCCTTACCTCAGCCACACACGCGTGCCCGGGCAGAGTAAACCTGGCTTTATCGTCGTCGTCGCCGTCGCCGTCGTCATCATCAACATCATACTCTTCCACAATTGCTACTCTCATCTCCGCTCCCCCCCTCTTGCGTCATTCGTTCGCACCCTATCCAGAGCGGCGGGCCAATGCGTCCGTCTGGCAGGCGATTCGAGTACACCGATTACAACAATGCGGACTTTGGTCGGGCTAGGGGAATTTAAGTTCCGTGCTGACAGTTTAATGGACGCATACCCTCAGATAAATACGGGCACTTTCACGTTTTCTCGCGCTCAAGCTTTGCTTAATGCATATGGTGGTGACACGAAGTCTTTCACGGACTAAAATTCGACTTTTGTTCTCATGAGCTGGAACACCCTGTGCGGTGTTCAACCGGCCAGCTAGTATCGTCGAATGCTCTGACGATCATATAGAGCTAAACCGAGGTTTGATTAATACTCAGCAGATAGTGGACCGATCATTCACAAATACTTTTAAGAAAGCACCCTGATGGTCTTTGAAAAACTCCAAACGAAGTTCAGGTTGATTGTGTGAACGACAAGTAATCTGAGTAGAGCCTCTTCAAACATGCTTGGTGCTAGTATATTCTTTCAATACTGGTATACTCCCTTGTCAAATTGAGGCGACATTTCACATTCCAGGTGCATGTATAAGCGGAGAAGAAGAAGAAGGTTGATCAATTACCAGAATGACTGCTTTATTTGTCTGAGCCTTCGAACTTATACTGAAGCCCATCGTCAGAGCTAAAAGCTGAAAAGAACAAGCAGCAGTTCTTCTTCTGTCCTAGTTAAACTTCCTTCTGTCAGTTAATTGTAGGATGGCTAAACAAATTTTTGTGTCAATCCTCTTGGTAGTCAGACCTAAAGCTCAGGACAGGACGTGTACGCTTCAGTTGCATTGTAGCATTTTATAGCATTTTGCCGAGTGATCGTTGGACGAAGAGCGCTTGGTCATGGAAAGTAAGTAACTGCCAGTGAGGGGAATGTTAACTCGTTTCCTCTCAGCCTCTGCGGTCCCGGATGAAAGGCTCAGCGAAAGGCGAGAAGTATGCTCTAGGTAGCCAATCTCTTATAGTTATTTTAGTTCGTCAACCTTCGGTAAGAGTAACTTCCACGCACAAAGACTGTTGTAGACATAGGTAAATGCTGCATATTTTCATCAAGAGAGATAAAGAGTAGCCTTCTTGAAGATGAGCATTTTCTATCTAAAAATATTTAAAAGAAATTTTAAGTCAAATTTGAGAATATAATTACCGAAGTTTAATGAAAGTTAATTGAGACGATACACTAAAATGGCCTCCATCTGAACAAGTAAGATAATATTCCTATAAAATCCTTGGAAAAAGTCAGAATCATTGCGACTGAAATGGCTGGTAGAACATGGGCAGAGGTGACTTTGCGCTGAAATCCAAGGGGCTATGTTTAAGGAGCAGAAAAAAATCCACTAGAATATAGCGCTACGCTACCTACCATACGGGGTACTGATTCTTATTCCTGTTTGCATGTTAGTGATTCTGTTTTATTTTTATATTCGCTGATTGGCTTGTTAGTACGTGACGTTATGCAATACTTTTATTATTTTGACGCCTCTAACGGCGCAATCAAGCGAAAACTTATTTGTCCTAGTCAACCGGATTTCAAGCAGTGGAAAAAAAGAAAACCTCGTGAAACCGTGTTGGAATCTACACTCGAACCATAGCCTGCTTGTAGTGGCCATCATACACATTAAAATTATTCCTAAAGGACATTAACGCAAAAACTCCACAAAAGTAATATTTTAAGCGCAAATATAATTGTCCTGATTTGCATGGACAGACTTTGTGCAAATTTAGAAATCCAGTTTCATCAGTTACAGTGATTTTTCACGTTTTCTGAATTTTCGGATTTTCTAAAAACGTTGCTGTCTTTAAACAACGATATACCGATTTATAAACCACAATGTGCCCTATTTTTAAGAACAGACGTTTCTTTACTCTTTTGAGATTCTAGGGGACGGCGCTTGGATTGATTTTGTGTGTTGGATTCTTTTGTGACATTATGAAATTTAATGTTAAGCAAGCTATTTTTATTCGTCAACCAGGTAACAGTATATGCTGAAACTCGATGAAAAATGTAGAAAGCTATTGTGTCTTGCAGAATAAACACGAACAAAAGGGCCTTTCACTTTCATCCAGAAGGTCTTAAAGGTCGGAAAACAACAATGTAAATTAGCAAAATCATTATGTCGGCGTAAGTGCGTTCAGACTAAAGGACGTGCATCTCCAGGAACTGTGAGAAAATGCACCATTTTGTGCTTTTTTAGCCGTAGTCAGTTACGCGATTTTCTTGGAATATCAACAAAATCTGGCGAGATCGTCCGAGAGCAGGCCGAATCCAACGTGCAAATGCAGAGTGTTTAGGAACTTCATCAAGGCTTGGTAGGCTGGAAGTTTCCCACCAATCAAATGAGCTAATAAACGTTTGAATACCACACATGCATGTCAGGTTTCTTTACCTGAAACTCGTTGAGGCATAGGTTGTCCAGAGGGAAAGTAACCGCGTTTCTCACAATCCGAAATAGAGGGGTTAACGCACACCCTAGACTGATACAGCAATATTAATAGCTAATTTACATCTTTAAAAAATGCTATTATCGAACCCACGCACAGTGCTGTTCTTATTCGGAAAAATCACACGGGCAGTAAAGTTGTCCGCTTATGCAGATGAAGTGATGCAAATTACTCTTTTGCAAACCCCGTATGTTTAGACTAAATTGTATGTGTTAACAGCGCCTCGGTACGGCTACTTAGGCCCGGAAGCGTCTACCTCTCCAACTGCCTGCTTGCACGTGTTCTCACGGGAAAACACGTCCAAACACTCCTGTGTTAGCTCAGTGCCACAATATCTCATCTACTTAATATATTACAGTGGTGTCTCTGAGGTAATACCCTACCAGTTTTTACATACACACAAAATCCCAACTTACTGCCAATCATAAATTAACTTTTTTAGAAAGTCATTGAGAAATTTCCGACGTTTTCTATATGACAAATCCAGAGAAATATGGATTCGAGAAATTTAATATAGTAGGTACCGTTCGTTGCTTTTCAGGCATTAAGCACCAAACAAAGATTTTTCTGTTCCAAACTATCCGAGTAGGCATACTAAAAAAATTATCTCCAAATACAGCGTCCCTACGTTCATCAGAGTGAAGGTAACTTGGTTTACCAAGCTTCACTAAAATGCGATTGGAATTTCCAAGATATCACTACCATGATACGGTGTAGGCTTTCGAATGAGCTCGCTTCCGACAGTCTGCAAAATATGTACTCGGTAAATATGAAAAGTTAATTAGTATAAGTAAAACTTATTTTCAACGTCTTAATGAATTCCAAAATATTTTATGGAAAAAATAAATGAAAAGATTATTGTCAATACAAGCGAATATGCGAGTCCCAGGAAGAAATCGAGAAGATGTGATCGCTGGCTTAAGACCTTTATTCGGCTGACGTTTCGAAATCCGTCGTGAATCCTTCATCAGAGACATTAGCAAAAACAATATCAGAAACGGGTAATTAATGCACAAGAAGTTGCAGTATTGCACAGTTATGACAATTAACGACTCCCCTATCAAGGATAATGGCCCGCTTGCGCGCTACTGCCAACGTTTTTGCTGATGTCTTTGATGAAGGATCTGCGACGGATTTCGAAACGTCAGGCGAATAAAAGTCTTTCCCCAGCGATCGCATTTTCTTCTTCTTCTTCTTCTTCTTCTTCTTCTTCTTCTTCTTCTTCT